TGACTCAGTGATGATGACGACTATGATGCCTGCAAAACGCCTTGAAATAAACCAAGTCTACGGTCAGAAGGTGAAAATTACCATAAATACTATAAAAGAAGTCTTCGGACAAAGTGTGTTCAACCAGGCCGTCCTGACAGCCTGACCAAGTTGCGAAAATGAAGTCAAACCGAATATTTCCATGAAATGAGACTGTGAACAAAGCAGAGGTCACAACAACTTGGTGCTCATATCTGCAGTCATATTGTTACTTAAAATAATAGTGAATCAGCCGGCTATGGAAGGGAGGCCTCTGGGCTACAGAACATTAAATAATATTTTTTGTTTTTTGATACCAAGATGCACTTCTAACTAGGATATATGTGTCCGACGTCATAACGTTAGGAACATATGAAATAGTCCCACCAACCCGCCTTCCAAAAGGGGAATACTAATTTATTTTATGCCAATACTTCTTCCGGAAGTCCATAGGTAGGGTAGACAAAAGTTCTTTATCGGTGCATTTCCATGTCCATAGACAATAAGCTGGCCTAAGAATTAATACAATAAAGGTAAGTTAGTTAATGCCTCTAGTGCCTAAATGATTGCTACTTGATCCAGGCTCACTTAATTTATCACTGCAATTTCACAACTTTATAGCTTTTTATTAGTTTATATTGAATTTATAAAATGGAGATGATTCGCTGGTTGAACAAGTGTTATGAGATGTATTCACCCTATTTCGAAACCCTACTTTAATATGAACAAGTGTTGCCAGAAGCCCACACCTTATGCATCATTAATAAATAAATTTGCTAAGAAAGGAAGGAGCATCAAGCGAAGAGACCACCTATTAAATGGGAAAGGAGAGCAACGCGTCTCAAAGTTACTTCCAATTGACATTCATTGGCCCAATTCATTTGAAAATTAAACAGACAAAGAGTCTCAATCGGAATTATTCAACATAGCGAAGAATAAACTACAACAGGCAATCAGTTTAGATGATGTAAAAAGAAAAGTGTTCGTGCAATTTCAATTAGAAATGGAACTTATGCAGCCAAAAAACAAGTCCCAAAGATAATTTGTCTATATCTCTATTCATCACACCAATAATCTCTTGTTATTTAAATGTGTGCCTATGCCGCAATTTATGAATCAGAGCCAGTCGCATATGAATTAGCTAAAGCTACTTGGAGGTCGCCTCCAAAGGATAATGTATAATTATTTGCTTACTTTTTACCAATTACCTGAGCTAGATAGATATTGCGTTTTGTGTCATCGAATAACGAATCATAGAGCAATTTTTGGTGTTATGATACATTACAAATTTTGTTATACTCTTGAGATTTAAGATCAGCTTAGCTTGATATGTGATATTAAGAATTGGTGTAGAAAATGTTTTAAAATGTATTTAGGTTATATATTCACCTTAGTTTGTACAAAAAGATCTTGTCCGAAAGGAAAAAAGGATCTGGTCCAAAGATATTTTCATAATTATAAACTAGGTTTTGTGAAAATATGTCATGTACATGATTCTTCTTTAAATCAAGCTGATTAATTGAAAAGCTCGACTCTTAGGGTTATAATTATAATTAATCCTAAATACAAAGGTAACGATGGTAACTATGCCTTTTGAAACGCTTGACTCAATATTAGATCCATTTAGGGTTGCCGATGAGGCGCAGGCGATTCCAAAACTCCAGCCAAGGCTGATTATAAAAGCCTTTTGGTGGGCAAGGCTAGGTAAGATTCAATGTCTTAAAGAAGCCCTCTCATTTCATTGATGGAAATCCATTAAACAGAACTGATATCAAGCTAAGCAACCAAAGCTGAATAGTTCATATAAAAACATCTACTGACAGCTTCAAAATCTACTCCTAACGTTTGCACAAGAAAGACAGATAATGAGCAACCTTAATTTTTCATTAATGTGCTTAAAAGTGTGATTGAGCACGTGAAATGACTTGCCTGTATAAAATATTTGAGAATATCTTTTCTCAGATTTAAAGTAGTTTCCGGATTTTTACTGTTTGACTGTGCAGTTGGGTATTCAAGAACATTTTTTTCACTTTCTGGGCTGTTACATTTTGTGGAAGACAGATTACTTATGCCGGGCTCAATTAATTCATTTTTATCCTCATCCAACTTCGTTGATGCGACATCAGTTTGCAGATTTTTACTTTCATTTAGTTCATCTGCAAGCCCTTCCGCCATTGATTCGATTTCATTGAATAGGTCGTTGAGACTGAGGATTGAGGAGTCGGTGCAAAGAAGTACGCGTGATATCTGTTTCAGATAGGCCCATGCAAGAATTGCTAGTTGCCTAATTTCTACTGCTGATAGTCCATTCAGATAGACTCCTTCGGTACCCGACTCATTCTCGTTAGGAGGCACCACGTGCCAAGCCTGAAACAGCAAAATAAAAAGTACCTTTGACCCAAATGGTATGGAAGTAGACGCTTCATATGTATATCTCATATTCTATCTCTATTCTCACCCCTTTTGTATCCACGATCACATTGACGAGTTCATCTCCCATTCCCTTGCGTCAATGCAGTGTTTGCGCCCTTGGAGAGCTATTATCTAATCATTTTTATCTTATTTAGGGCATAGGGCACTGAAGAGTGCATCTTGTGAAGAGAAGATAGGACTTGGCAGACCTCATAATAGATCATTGTTAGACTGATTTACATATTAAATGAAGCTTCGATCTCGACGTGCTAAGCCGTCCTTTTTACTGCTTTACATTGGCCCTATCCGTCTTAATCGACGTTATCACTGAGGATATGATGACTACCATGCAAACTTTGTCCTCCATAATGCAATCTACTAGTATATTTTACACATAATTAGCAATTTGACGATGATTATTTCGTGTGGAGGTTATTTCTGCCCATTGTCTAGATTCGGCCCTTTAAGTGAGTGCAGTAAGTCGTTAAGTTTTGGACGCTTTGAGATAGTGGTTTATACTTTGCCAGCAGGTTTGGTTTAACTAGTCATTCCAACGTTGTAGACATAATTGGTCTAGTGTTAACGGTAAATTAGTTTTATTGCACATCTCATAATAGACGAATCATATCTTTGAGGATCAGAATTCGATTAGCTTCAAAAATAAAATAAGGAGTTCAAAATGCTATACCTGATCGACTCCAGATTCTTAATTGCCGATTAGTTAAGTTCTCTTAATAGACTTGTCCGGGAATATAGATCCAAGTGCAATAATCCTGGAATTGTTAGCGTTTAATAAAATTGCACTTGTGAATACATGGCAAAGTGCCAACTCTTACATAGTGATTATTATTTGATCCCAAAGTTAAAGCGAGAGTATAATTATTGGACTTTCATGATAAATATTATGAATATTACTAAGAGTTGTATTTACTGTTGGTCACATAAGGTGATGAGGGACTGAGAGTTAAATTTTCCCAGGATGAAATAAGTAGGTCTCACAATTTCATTTAATTTCACTTAGAATTGCCTCCCAGAAGGCATTATAATCCAAAGCTAAGGGAAATTTAATGGCACTGTGAGGCCTACTCATATAAAAGTAAAAAATTCTATCAGTACCTCATCACTTCATGCTACCCAAGGTAAATACATCTCATATTTAACAGCTAATGGTAGTCCTGAAACCAACCCAATACGAATATAAGTATAGGTGATACTGATAAAAAACTTTATTGAAAAAATTCGAAGATCGTGTCATACTAGTAACCTTTTTCTGAATAAACCTATTCTTAAGTCCCAGCAACATAGTGGAATATGAAGTAAACTTTAGTACAACCAAGGCTATTCTAATGACTGGAAGGCGCTGTCACTATGAGCAAAAGTTATTGTAATTGGCGACTATAAAAAGATAATTAATTCCATCCCCCTACGTCCTTGAGCCGGCTTAAAGAAACTCGACATGAAATAAACGTAAGGTTTACTAAGCGTTCTCTGATTAGACTGCAAAGTAAGATAGTAGATGGATTACACAGTGTACCCATTTCAGCTCAACCAATTCGATATTCATCCTAGGTCTTTTATTAAAGGCTACATATAAATAACGTACCCCTTCGTATTCGCAGACCAGCTTGAATCCGTAAAGAGGTAACCCGAAAATTCCATTCGCTTCTTGCTGTGCGACTGTCTATTAAATTAAAATAGTAATTAATGAATAAATAAAGTGATTATAAATTAGGAATCTAAATATAGTAGGAAGGATACATAAGATGGCTGTAGTTTAATAGTCTAATTGCTGGGGTTGGTAGAAATTAATAGGCTTATTGGAATAATTCAATCGGCCTAAATACCATATATTTAATTTATTTGTCGAGCTCAATAAAAATGAAGCATTCTAGAAATACTGCAAGTAAATGAGGTAGGTGAAACAATAAGCAAACTATATTTACACAGTTAACGACACAAATTCAGACA